GATGTACCTTGTTACTATAAATAAGTATTGTAAGTTTCAATTGAATATCTCAAGCAATAATTGAGATATTTGACTTTACAAAAAGCTTTAATCAACACAGACGCCGACGCGGACGCTGACGCCGACGCCGGGGCGACTACAATAGCTCTCATATTCTTCGAATAGTCAAGCTAAAAAATAACATGAAACCTTGTGATATACAATTATGTTGCTTCATAAGCATCAATTACCATAAAAAATAAAACAAAACAAAATAATGTTCTGAAACACAAAAACAGCCCCTGCCTTATATCTTACCAGGAAATAACCAAAATTTTCAACATTGTGGTGAAATTTCCAATACTTTGATGGTCAACAAGCTTTATAGTTCAATTTTGAAGTTCAAGCACTTTTGAAGGAACCAAGTTTTCCTATTTTGCATGCACGTTTTGTATCACATATTTCACTCGCTACCAATGATTTATTAGTTTAATTTGTCATAATGATAACACACTGAGGACTTTGTTTTCACCTTTTCATCACTTTTAATAACACATAATTATCATGTGATATTTTACAACATGGCCAAAGCTATACCTAAAGCAAATATTCTTATGGATGGGCTCATATGTAGAAAACTATCAACTTTTTGCCATGCACCCTGTCATCCTTTAATTATCAAGCACAACTGTCACGACCAAGCCTGGTCTAGGGCATTAAGTGGTCAAAGCCATATTAGATTTTCAAGCCATCAAAAGCAGGCTTACAACGGTGATGTAATGATCAAGATTTAAGCTGTCCACATGAAAGACAGACAGACAGAGGGAACAACAAGAGCTGTCCGTAAGACAGCGCGCTCGACTTTTTTATTGCTTGCCAATAAAAAAAGTTTTTGCAGTAAAAGGCAATACAAGAATCTCTGTATTTTTAAAGTGAACTAGTTGTTTGATACCCTTGAATATTACAGCAATGTTTATATGACATAATTTATGGTAAAGTGAACAAGTGGATAGGAATGAATTTTTTTAGATTTTTTAAGTTTTTTAGTGCTTGCCTATAATACAAAACATTGACAGTTAAGGGCCATAATTCAAATAAAATCTTTGACAGAATTACCTTCTCCTGGACATGTTTGGGAATCATGATTGTAAACAAGTATTCCAACTTTCAAATTAATATCTCAAACAGTTCAGTCAAAAAGTGGACTGGTACTAAAAACTTAACCAAGATTCTAAGTCGATAAAAGGCCTTAATTTTTAAAACAAATCCTTGACAGAGTTACCTTCTCTTGCGTACAGATGGGGGTAATGATGTGAAATAGCATTAAAAGTTTCAAAGCAATATCTCAAAGGGTTAAGGCAATAAGTGGATTTTACCCATATTCAATGTATTTTCTAAGTCAAAAAGGGGCATAATTCTGTCAAAAACCTTGACAGAGTTATGTCCTCTTGTCTGTTGATGAAGGTCGTGATGGTAAACAAGTATGGTCAGTTTCAAAGCAATACCTCCAATGGTTTTGAAAATAAAGTGAGGTGGTACAAAAAACTTAACCAAGCTCAATACACTTTCTAAGTCAAAAAAGGGCCATAATTCTGTCAAAAACCTTGACAGAGTTTATGTACTCTTGTCTGTAGATGGAGGTTATGATGGTGAACAAGTATGGTAAGTTTCAAAGCCATACTTGTAATACTTCTGAAATAAAGTGGGGTGGTACGAAAAACTTAACCAAGGTGTGACGCCAACGCCGACGCCGACGCCGGGGCGAGTAGGATAGCTCCCCTTTTCATAGAAAAGTCGAGCTAAAAACAATATGCCTTCTATGCCTTCACAGGATTGGCAAGGTAGTGGCATACAAAATTTTCCAGCATCCATTTCCTTCCTAAGAACATTCAAGTAACATTTAACTTTGAGAACATAAAAGATTTATTTTGTAAAAGTTAAAATATACCCAAACAACCAAAAAATGAGTAAATGCATGAACGCTTACCCTCCCCGGCCATTTCTTCTGGAAAAGTTCTCAGTTATTTTGAAAGTGTTATCATAAAATACAAGTAAGAAATAAAACGGGTAAATGGTTATCAGCATAATATTGCTTATATTAATAATATTACATGTATATTTAAGTAATTCACATGCTGTATAAGGTTAAACTAGCCTATGGTAGTTTAATTCTTTCACAACCATTGTTTCTTCCATAATCCAGAATTTTACTTGTGATATTTTCTTTTTTTCTTCTAATCCAAAAATCATTTTGTTGTATTTGTTCACATGAAATTTACACAAAAGTTAAAAAAATTTACAGTACTCAAAAGAGTCTTATCCGAAACATATATGGCTTAATTTGACAGTACTTTAACTTCTTATCTGAAACACATAATATGATTGATTATGGGATTCAAACATGTGAAATAGATTCTATACACTCTCTCTACTGAGCTACAAGTACAAGAGCAGTCTATATTTATGAACAAGCATATACCATAGCATTGTTTATTGTAAGATGTTATATAGATATGAGTAAAAATGCAGAAATATTAAATCAAAAGGGTATAACCAAAATCAGGTAAATCATCGGGAAAATAATAATGTCCAATTTAAGGAAACTATGCAGGTTAAAATTGGGTTATATAACAGACATCCATTTATACAGGGTTTTTAAATACTATTGCATGTTTGTAACATCACTTTTCATTGGAAAATCTTGATGTTTATATAAACTTTATACACCGCTGCTGTTAAAGATTCTTAACAGGTTATATAACATTATATAAACAGTTCTTTCTAATATAACCCTAAAATAGCAGCTCAGGTTATATGTGCAAACAACTATTAAGGATATGGTCATATAACCTGCACAAAAAAGGTCATATAACTTGCCAAGAAATTGTGTTAACTAACAATATTTCACACATTCATTTATATAGGGTTATATAAGAAACACCCATTTACGCAGCAGTTCAGGTGATATATGTAAAGCAACCATTCAAAATATAACCTGCCAAACATATTTTCATAACTGATAACATAACAAACATACATTAATATAAGGATATATAACAACCATCCATTTATATTGGGTTATATAACAAACCTCTATTTATATTGGGTTATATAACAAGAGCTGTCCGTAAGACAGCGCGCTCGACTTTTTTAGTGCTTGCCTATAATACAAAACATTGACAGTTAAGGGCCATAATTCAAATAAAATCTTTGACAGAATTACCTTCTCCTGGACATGTTTGGGAATCATGATTGTAAACAAGTATTCCAACTTTCAAATTAATATCTCAAACAGTTCAGTCAAAAAGTGGACTGGTACTAAAAACTTAACCAAGATTCTAAGTCGATAAAAGGCCTTAATTTTTAAAACAAATCCTTGACAGAGTTACCTTCTCTTGCGTACAGATGGGGGTAATGATGTGAAATAGCATTAAAAGTTTCAAAGCAATATCTCAAAGGGTTAAGGCAATAAGTGGATTTTACCCATATTCAATGTATTTTCTAAGTCAAAAAGGGGCATAATTCTGTCAAAAACCTTGACAGAGTTATGTCCTCTTGTCTGTTGATGAAGGTCGTGATGGTAAACAAGTATGGTCAGTTTCAAAGCAATACCTCCAATGGTTTGAAATAAAGTGAGGTGGTACAAAAAACTTAACCAAGATTCTAAGTCGATAAAAGGCCTTAATTTTTTAAAACAAATCCTTGACAGAGTTACCTTCTCTTGCGTACAGATGGGGGTAATGATGTGAAATAGCATTAAAAGTTTCAAAGCAATATCTCAAAGGGTTAAAGGCAATAAGTGGATTTTACCCATATTCAATGTATTTTCTAAGTCAAAAAGGGGCATAATTCTGTCAAAAACCTTGACAGAGTTATGTCCTCTTGTCTGTTGATGAAGGTCGTGATGGTAAACAAGTATGGTCAGTTTTCAAAGCAATACCTCCAATGGTTTTGAAATAAAGTGAGGTGGTACAAAAAACTTAACCAAGATTCTAAGTCGATAAAAGGCCTTAATTTTTAAAACAAATCCTTGACAGAGTTACCTTCTCTTGCGTACAGATGGGGGTAATGATGTGAAATAGCATTAAAAGTTTCAAAGCAATATCTCAAAGGGTTAAGGCAATAAGTGGATTTTACCCATATTCAATGTATTTTCTAAGTCAAAAAGGGGCATAATTCTGTCAAAAACCTTGACAGAGTTATGTCCTCTTGTCTGTTGATGAAGGTCGTGATGGTAAACAAGTATGGTCAGTTTCAAAGCAATACCTCCAATGGTTTTGAAATAAAGTGAGGTGGTACAAAAAACTTAACCAAGCTCAATACACTTTCTAAGTCAAAAAAGGGCCATAATTCTGTCAAAAACCTTGACAGAGTTATGTACTCTTGTCTGTAGATGGAGGTTATGATGGTGAACAAGTATGGTAAGTTTCAAAGCCATACTTGTAATACTTCTGAAATAAAGTGGGGTGGTACGAAAAACTTAACCAAGGTGTGACGCCAACGCTAACGCCGACGCCGGGGCGAGTAGGATAGCTCCCCTTTTCATAGAAAAGTCGAGCTAAAAACCACCCATTTATATTGGGTTATATAACAACCATCCATTTATATTGGGTTATATAATAACCATCCATTTATATTGGGTTATTTAACAAACCTCCATTTATATTGGGTTATATAACAAACATTCATTTAAATAGGGTTAAATAGCAAACATCCATTTATATTGAGTAATGCAACATACATTTATATTAGGTTATATAACAGACAGTCATATTTATTGGGTTTTATTAAAAATCATTTTATATTGGGTTATATAATTTACATCCATTCATATGTGGTCATATAACCTATCAAATAAATTTTTAATGAATTTAAGATACTACACAATTGCTTATTTTGATTAATATAAAAAGAAATTCATAAATTTGATGCAGCAGGGTTTACAGATTATGTGAATATTAGGATTATCCAATGAAAAACAATGTTACAAAAAGGTGCAGTGCTATAAATTTATCTATTACCTTTTCCTCTTTAATGTAAGGATCAGCACACTCTGATATATCCCCTTGTTGTAGCACCTTCTCCAGCTGAAATAAAACAATACTTTAAATCTATTAGCAAGAAAAGCCTCTTTATTTACACATAACAAAGTTTGTCTTTTTTCAATTTATACCTATGTAAACCTATATTTACAGCTGTTGTCAGAACAATTATAATGTACCAGTAAGTTTCCAAGGCAAGAGAACCAATTTTTTTCAAAGCTTACAGGTCTGAGGTGTCTGTGTTTCTGTGGTGACCTACAAAAGGAACATATTTTTAAAGTTTACCTACCTAAGGAACATATTTTTACCAACCTAAGGAACATATTTTTGTGGTTAACTTTACTTAGAAACTTATTTTTAATGTTTACCTACCTAAGAAACTTATCTCGAAAGTTTACCTACCTATGGAACATATTTTTAATGTTTACCTACCTAAGGAACATATTTTTAATGTTTACCTACCTAAGGAACATATTTTTAATGTTTACCTACCTAAGGAACATATTTTTAATGTTTACCTACCTGAGGAACATCTTTTTAATGTTTACCTACCTGAGGAACATCTTTTTAATGTTTACCTACCTAAGGACATATTTTTAATGTTTACCTACCTAAAAAAACTTATTTTTAGTGTTTACCTACCTAAGGAACATATTTTAATGTTTACCTACCTAAGGAACATATTTTTAATGTTTACCTACCTGAGGAACATATTTTAATGTTTACCTACCTAAAGAACATATTTTTTAATGTTTACCTACCTAAAGGAACATATTTTTTAATGTTTACTTACCTAAGGAACATATTTTTAATGTTTACCTACCTAAGGAACATATTTTTAATGTTTACCTACCTAAGGAACATATTTTTAATGTTTACCTACCTAAGGAACATTTTTTTTAATGTTTACCTACCTAAGAAACTAATTTTGAAATTAATCTACCTAAGTAACTGCTGCATTTTTTTTTAAGTTTACATATTTAAGAAACTAATTTTTAAAGTTTACCTTCCTAAGGAAAGTGATTTTTAATGGTTTGCCTTCCAAAGTGACTAAATTTTAAGTAATTGCCTACTTCAGGAACTTACTTTTAAAGTGTATATGCATACAGGACATATTTTGGAGTTTAACTTCCCATAGAACTAATTTTTTAAAGTTGACTTGCCTATGATTCATACTTTGAAAAAACAGATACCAAGTTTATTATTTGCTTCAATAAATTCCTGCTTTATATGTCAAACAAGTAATAAGTCAATTTCTTAAATTATAACCTTGACCTGATAATGTGTAAATCCTACAAAAGCAGGTAACTACATAACAAAAATATCTGTTCTGGTTCTATGAAAAACAGGGAGTAGGTAAAGTGAAGAAAATCTAGAAATTAAATACACTGTATGCTCCCCCTTAATCTTTTGAAGACCATAAAAGACAATGCTTCTTTTGGGTTTTTTTTACCCTGTTTTCAAAACATTTTTAGTCATAACTCTGTAGTCAGTCGACCCAACTGGTTATCTGGCTAATTAACCAGTTATTTCTAATCGTCTGTCCACCTAACTGGTTATCTGGCTAATTAACCAGTTATTACTCATTTTGTTCACAAGTGACTGTTAATTAATCCCACATGATTTCTGAATTAGCTTTAAGAGTAACAGAACAAGAGCTGTCCGTAAGACAGCGCGCTCGACTTTTTTATTGCTTGCCAATAAAAAAAGTTTTTGCAGTAAAAGGCAATACAAGAATCTCTGTATTTTTAAAGTGAACAATGGCCATGAGCATTAAGATATTTAGTGAAGAATTATTTTACTGAATTGTGTGATACCCTTGAACACTGCAGCAAAGTTTGAAATGTTTAAGTCAAAAGAGGGCTGGTAAGAAAGAAAAAAAAACTTTTTTAGTGCTTGCCTATAATACAAAACATTGACAGTTAAGGGCCATAATTCAAATAAAATCTTTGACAGAATTACCTTCTCCTGGACATGTTTGGGAATCATGATTGTAAACAAGTATTCCAACTTTCAAATTAATATCTCAAACAGTTCAGTCAAAAAGTGGACTGGTACTAAAACTTAACCAAGATTCTAAGTCGATAAAAGGCCTTAATTTTTAAAACAAATCCTTGACAGAGTTACCTTCTCTTGCGTACAGATGGGGTAATGATGTGAAATAGCATTAAAAGTTTCAAAGCAATATCTCAAAGGGTTAAGGCAATAAGTGGATTTTACCCATATTCAATGTATTTTCTAAGTCAAAAAGGGCATAATTCTGTCAAAAACCTTGACAGAGTTATGTCCTCTTGTCTGTTGATGAAGGTCGTGATGGTAAACAAGTATGGTCAGTTTCAAAGCAATACCTCCAATGGTTTTGAAATAAAGTGAGGTGGTACAAAAAACTTAACCAAGCTCAATACACTTTCTAAGTCAAAAAAGGGCCATAATTCTGTCAAAAACCTTGACAGAGTTATGTACTCTTGTCTGTAGATGGAGGTTATGATGGTGAACAAGTATGGTAAGTTTCAAAGCCATACTTGTAATACTTCTGAAATAAAGTGGGGTGGTACGAAAAACTTAACCAAGGTGTGACGCCAACGCTAACGCCGACGCCGACGCCGGGGCGAGTAGGATAGCTCCCCTTTTCATAGAAAAGTCGAGCTAAAAATTACCACTAGAATCAAAGATCAACTGTCACAGAGAAATTTAGCCTCAACTGGGGACCTTACAAATCTGATGCTTTCCCTATTGGGCTTAGTAGGGCTAACTAGGTGCTACTGTTTGTAGTTTTCACTCAGTAACACAGCAGAAAGCCACAATGAATTTAGAGCACATTTCAGCCACCCAATTGTTCCTTGGCATGCTGTCAAGCAGTTAACCAGTACTAGTTGCTTTCACTTTCGCCATGAACTCAACTGATTACTTCAGTACATGTCAGTGTAGAGGTAGAGTGCGAATGACTGTAGAAAGGATTTCTTTATCAATCACAACAAAAGAGACCTGCGATACCTGGGAATCGAACTTGAATCTCTCAATTCACAGTCCAATGCTCTACCTATTGAGCTAACGGAACAGCTTTAGGACTAACCAGGCACCACTGTAATCTATTAATAGTATCACACCTACCCTGATTACAAGGAAGACATCTGGTGAGGGATATGTTATACTGAACACTCCAGCTTTACTTGTAGTAGAGAGGTCCTGGTGGGGAACATGAAACCTGATCATCTGTTTAAAATTGTCACCATTCAAGTCAAAGTAGAAATTTTCCGATATCTAAAAACAGAAAAAAAATCCAAATCTTCAAAATACAGCTTATGCCAAAATACAGTAAAACAGAACTCCACTGAGTTCTAAAAGGTTTAAAGCATCAAATTTGAATTTCTAAAATATTCAACTTGGAAACTTAAAATTTCTAACATAGTTCAACTTGGACACTTAAAACAGACAGATATGCAAATGCTAATGCAGAGATATATATACTCAGAATTAATTTATATAGTATTTTAACTATTTCTGAGATATTCTTATCCAGATACAGGTTAATTTTCTTTTTTAGGGTCATTTTTTCCCAATTAAAACAAGAGCACTGCATGCAGTGTTAATGCCCATCTGTTAAATTAAATTAACCACTTAAGTTGAAAAGGGGCATAACTGCCCGTTGTCTTACAACTACCTCTTGTCATGATTGGCAAGTATTCCAAGTTTCATATTGATACCTTAAAGATCCTGTAACACATTTTTTTCATGGTTTTATTTCATAAATATGATGCTCAAATTAAGATTTGTCAATATTGTCAGTTCCAATAAGCATTATTTATAAAGATATTACCCAATTTAACATTTTATGTACATAAAGGGAGGTAATTAGAAATTTATTTTCTATAAATTCTAAGTCACAATTTTCAATAAGAAATGAGTGCATATAAATAATTGATTAAATATAATGTGCACAAATATTTGCAGTACACATTTTACATATTCTTTGATGTTTGAAAATTGTTATATTTGCATAATTATATACATATATAATCTTTTGCAAGTGTGGTATACACATAGTAACAATATCAGTCACAAAACATACAGGATCTTTAAATATTGTTTGAGTAATGGGCTACATTAAAGTTTGTGCATGACGACAACGATTGAGCAATCATAATAGCTCAACTTTTTCTTCAAAACAGAAAAGCTAGTAACTATCCTAGGAAAGCAGAGTGTGGGAATAATAAAATTGTGCACACAAATCACTGGTCAAGACCTTCATCAAATAGTAAATCACTTCCTTCATCAAATGGTAAATCATTTGTCAGTTTTTAAAATCCAGTTCATACTTATAACATATTTGTCATGAAAACGCCAGTCTACTTTATTATCATTATTTAAACACCTACAATATACACCTCTGAATCAATATGCAGGAATTGGGCCCTTCTTTGAATTATAAAATTTCTGTTATAATTTTAAAGGGATTTCAGTAACCATTTAGCAATCATTGAAGTACCTTGTCAAACTTAATGGAAATCCAGACTGAGCAACATGATATGATTATAAGAAAATCAAAGATAGGCTTGCCTACTTAACTTTCCATCAGAGGAACAAGTTTACATATGAACCCCCAAATACAGCAATCAAATGTCATTTAAATTTTATCTTGATATAAATGTCTTATATATTTTGTACTTATGGTAAGTATAACATTTGTAAGCTAACTATAGACATACCTTTTTCCTTTCTTTTGCATCATACACAGCCATTGTGGCAAATATTGGCTCTACTTCAAGCTCTAGTCTGAAATCAAAGAGATGATTTGTGGATAATATGTATTCTAAAATATTTTTACACCATAAAATGTAATGGTTTCTGAAAATTTACCGGAATTAAAGACAGGGTAAAAGGAACGATAAAGTATATTCTGGAACATCTATAAGCATGGTTTCATTTTCCAGAATCAAAGAAAAGGGTATATAAGTGTGTATTCTGGAACAACTCTCATGGTTTTCTAAAGGTGTTTTCCTATCATATTTTTATCATTAACTTTTCAAACTATTCCTAGCATTTTTTTACTATTACAAAATATAATTACTGAAATTTGTTATGAAGTTATTGAGATTGCTTTGAGACAGTCTCTGTCTTCACTCAAGGTAATTTTTGAAGCAATACACATGTAGAAGTCAGGGATTTTTCTCTTCTCTAAAACTGATCTTGTTTTGATATGACAGAAAAGATTTAGCATAATTAAATAGAGATCCAGATATGTGTGGTAATAGATAACAATATAATGGTCAAATTTCATTTAATTTTGCAAAAATAACTTTGAAGTTTTATGGGTTTTTTGGGGTTTGGTTTACTTCTGATGTTGATGAGGTGAGTTGATAAAAACACCTTTCGAAACAAAACAAAAATCTACTTAGGAAGTAAAGATTACTAATGGTTTATAAAGTAACTTACTTCAGTTGAAGACATTTAACAAGAATTCTGTGTCCAAAGTGTTCTGTTGGGGCCATCACAAAGGCTCTTTTCTCAATCTGTTCCTCCTGTTATATAAATACACAAAATATTTATAAATTACTTGAAACTAAACAAAAGTTAACTAAATACAAAAAATAAATACAACAATGATGCTGATAGGGATAAGTCTTCACTACTAGTATAAAGCTGAGCAAGAAATTTTTACATAGTAATAATTTCACCTTGACATTTATCAAATGCTTGTGCCATTGGCATTATAATTTAACAGAATCATTTAATATGGTCATTCAAACAAAAGTTGGATTTCCTTTCTTAAACACATCATTTCTCAATAGGAGTCATAAAATCAAATTTAAACCAATAGTAGGTTTCTAAAAACAATCAAGTAAAATCTAAACAACAAAATATTCCCATTGATCTAAAAAAAAAAGATGGAGCTAACTCCTGCAGATTTTACGTTCACTTATAATAGTACAACACTACATATTATACAAACACAATAATTACTTATCAACTTGTTTCATATAAATTTTATTAATTTCAAATGTGTAAATAGATCACACTTACACATGGTTTATTTGTAATATGCTGTTAGGGCAATGTATAAATTTTCAGTAGTAATAAAACTAATTGCCATTCATTAAAACCATTAAATATACTTGTATAATTTTACAGCAATTATATGTCTAAATTGTTTTAAGTGTAGCAGTTTGTTTGTTTGTCTGTTTTGATTTTTTTCTTTTGACATATCTTGACAGTCAATCCACTTAGCCGCCTTTCCTGGATAACTTACCAGTAATAATAAACTCCTCTGCAAGTAACCAACTACTTATCTCACATGATTTCTGAATCAGTAATGAAAGACAATGACCATTAGACTCAATGTTCCAAGAACAATTGTCAGAAAAATTTTGCTTTTCCAAAGGAATGAAACAGTAACCTGTTGATTACAAATGTGAAGCTCTCCCTATTCACCTAAGCTGACAAACCAGTGTAGCAGTTATACATACGTACCTCGTCTTGTGGTGGATATAGAGTGAACACTGTATCTTGACGGTGTTGCTGTCGCTGGATTTCATTGTTACGATCCACCTCTTCTTGTGACACTCGGTCAAACAAGTTAGGCAACTGTGCATCAGCTTGTGACTGTTTCAAATCAAATATACTACTTGCCCAACTTCCACGTGGAGTTTCACTCATGTGAATAGACTGGCGCTTGTTAGGTAAATCCTGTTAAGAAAATGATAAAAGAAAGCATTTAAATCTTGCATTTATTATTATCAATTATGATATATTAATTTATCAAAATATCTTTAAACCAAGAATACACCCTTGTTAATACCTCAATCTTAACAAAAAAACATATTATGGTCTTTCTGATATGAAAATAATTAAACATTGCTTGAAAAAGCACTCTCAAGTTAAAGGGACTCCACTGAGGTCTTTTGACATGACCAAAAATATTTCTCAAAGTTTAATGTTCCATTTGATGAAGGCCTAGAGCAATAACTTGTGTGCAAAAATTCAGATAATTCACACACTCACTTTTTCCAGAATAAATATTCTAATTGTGAAAACTGAAGCAAAATTGAAAAGCGTTCCAACGCTTTTCACTCAAATCGGGCTAACAATAGCCCAAAAATATGATTTCCAATTAATTTCTGAGTAGATGTTTTAATTATCTTCAGTATATTTTTATGTGCCCAAGTTGATTTATGTAAGAAATTCACGTTTTACATTTTTAGGCTTTTGGGACCTCAGTGGAGTTCCTTTAAAAATAGACCTATTTTTACTGTTTGAATATTGCTTCAAAGTTAGATAATCTACATACCTTATCTTGCTCACAAACATCATCAATGTCCACCTCATATTCTTGCTGGACCAAACATTCTCTGTCTATATTCCTGTTATGTGTGTACTGCTGATACCTGAAATACCAGTGTACAGTGAATTTATTTTTGCTCGATAATGACCCCAAATTGTGGCCTCCTTACAAATGCCAAAAAATTCACAAAAATGTGAAAAAAAATCACTATAAGCAGAATTGTTTATCGGTACAACACAAAATAATGAAATGATAATTGACAATCTTGAGAAATTTGGTTTATATTTTTTAAAGGAATCAAAAAAAAAAAGCTTAAACAATATACATAATCATTAATTGTATAAATAAAGTGAATACTAGGGGTATGGGCTGTTCCGAAAAAAAGAAGAGAAAAAACTCACTGATGTAGCCAAAAATATCTACATTTGTATATACATGCACAACATATTGTCTTCATCTTGGTGCAATTATGTTAAACATTACATTTTGAAAACATTTAGAGGGAAGAATCTTCATGATTAAACCCTTTCCCTGTTAAATACATGTATCTTAAATGTAATTGTCCATCTTTCAATCTGCACAAAATTATTCATCATTTATAGAGAAAATATGTACTGCCAAGATAGCAAACAGTGCAAATGATGATCAGGCGGCTGATCTTGGTCCGCACTGGTCACCTGGGTAGATTCAGTTGACACCAGCAGGCTAACGGGTTAAATACACATCATATATATCAAACATATGCTGACGGGAGCATTTTTTGGGCATTTAGATACCATATCATTTAATCTATGAGTTATGATATAATGCTTTTTTTTTAATTTGCTTTTTTTTGTGTATTGCTGTTTACCTTAGCTATCGGCTTTTCATTAAACGCCCTATCAACCCGAGTGATCAAAAGTCTATGTTGAATAGTCACAAATATACTACAGTTAAAATCTATTATGTTACTGAAAACACTTCAATCTTCATTGCTTTACAATGGTTAAGTACAATATGTAATCATTAACAGAAACAAAACAATATTTTGTCACCCTCTGGCCGAAACAGGTTAACTCCTACATTTAAACATTAGGAGTTAACCCATTGCTGCACTAAGGTGACAAAATTTTATTTGTCAAGAAAAAAAATGAATGACCTTTAAATTTTTTTAGTTTTTTCTTACCTGCGACTGACTATAGTATAATCCGCAGTGTATCTTCTTACACAGTCAAATACATGTGGATCTACTTCCCCTCTGTAAGCAATAATGAATATTACATTTATCATCAAATTTATATATATAATATACAAGAAATTATGTTGTTTTATCACATCTGGCACCATAGTTTTCCTAATGTAAACCACCAGGGGTCATGAAAAAACACCAGCAGGATGCCTTTATTTGAGGCAAAGTTTCTTATTTGAAACTTTCACAGCATGTTTTTAAGAGCAAAGCAAAAATGGTATGGTTGATAGTTAAAAGTGACAAAAAAGCCCAAACGGACGACAATGGAGAATAGGGGTGGGGCTTATGTAAGGATAAAATGTACATGTTGACGTTATACTTTGACCATTTAATGAATCCAGCTGTTAATAATAGATAAACATGTTTTTGGAATCTTTATATAGGTATTGCTTAGTTCCTCTAGTTTAAACATTTATTGCATCTACAATGGCATGTAACTGCAAGAACAATACAGTAAAGCTGGATTTTTCTTTTTTGCACCCGATTTATCCTGGTGCAAAAAGGCAGAATAGTCTTATTCATCTGCCATTACATTTCCTTGGGCTTCAGATTGATCTTATATGCATAATGAAACATATGGAGTCTTTTAAAATGTGAACTATCAGAGGTCATTTAATTTGTGTTAATAATGTCAAATTATTTATGTCACGTAGAAACTTTGTTACTTTTATTGTTTAACAGATGTACAAGGAAATTAAAAAATAAACCATTCTAAATATATATAATAGTTTACTTCTAAACAATATGCCAGTCACATTTCTTCCACTTCATTTTAAGTTACAAACATGTATACATGTACATGTGTAATTTTATCATTATGACACAACATGACATACCCTATTTCTGGCACAATGTGCGTCACTGTGCGGCATCTTTTTGGTAATGAGAGCACTTCAATATCATCATCATCTGGGTAAAGAAGTCTGTCCCGGTATGGGTCCCGGTCAACTAAAGTCTGGTTCTGAACCACAAACTCCTCAAAATCTGGCGGCTCTGCTACATCGACACTGCCTGTCAACTGGAAATTACAATCCGTATTAATGTATAACTACACTCAGTTCTGATTATGGTACATTTTCATTATGACCTTATTACAAGGAAATAAAATTTGTCTTTGCAATCAGCTATACTTACATGTATTTGTATAAGCTTTATTCTTACCAAAGTACAATATTGTAACAACGTTGGTAGAACGTCATAATATTGATAATGAGTATAATAATATGCAAAAACTAAAGTTGGTGGATTAACATAAAGGAATCTTCCCCATAAGGCATATACATAAAGATTTATAAGGACACAAACCACTCTTGGTGTTGAGCTACAGTCAGGTGCAAAAAGTATTGGTGAAAAGGGAAGTAACTGATGCATGCTTAGGAAATAGGTTACTTTTGCTAGTCTCTCTTTACTAATTACATCATTCTCAAGGCCAAATATGACGTCATAGAAATTTGATGACATCATAGTTCTAGAATACTATTGTTTACCTTTGGAAATTTTTGAGTGTTAATGACTGTGTCAAATATTGTTAAAAGATTTTGTGCAGTGGTTCTACTTAAAACAAACCAAGAAGTGGAAGGCCAAAACTTAACAGCAAAAGGAAGTTTCAGGTGATGATAGGGGGGTATATTTGCTGGCATGGAGTGGGGACTTTAAGAAAAGTGACAGTTATTATTAGCTCTGCAAAGTACAAAGGCATTCTTCAGGATAACATTTGGCCTGTTATTGTAAGACATTTTCCTGATAATAATTATTTATTTCAAGATGATAATGCCCCAGGACACATATCTCGCTTACTTCAAAAATATATAGCTGACAGCATTTTAAAGTCCATTTCTTTGCCTGCACAATCACCTGACATTAATATTATTGAAAATACATGGTTATACATCAAATGAAAATTCAATACAGACACCATGTAATCAACAGCAATTACAAACTTTTTAGTGAAATTCAGAGGATATAAATGGACATCCCTACAAGTTATGTTCAGAGCCTGTTTTTGTCTTTACTCAGAAGGTTATTGTCAGTTATCAGACTGAAAAGTCACTTGACTGAGTATTAAGGTAAGAAAACAATTAGTTTTTGCAGTTTGAGCAAACTAGTAACTAGTTTATATGAAGGAAATCTATGATTGATTGATTCAGATAAATCCAATATGGCCGCCAAAATCACCAATACTTTTTGCACCTGACTGTAGCTTTTCACCAACTGAGTTTGTGTACCTTAAAATGTTTCAATATTACCTTATATAACTGCAGATGTAAGATAAACCAGACCTTGTCTATATGATGTTTTCTTGTCAAACACATTCAAAACCAAAAGAAAAACAACAAGCCTTTACCTAAATTGGAAAGTGAAAAATTGCCAGTATATAAAATAAATCATTAGAAATTGTCTCCATTTTTTTTGGAAAAATTCTCATTTCTAAAATTCGGAGAAAAAACTAACTGTAAACAGTTGATGTTTTCTCCACTACTACCACTTTTTGTGGTTTTCTCAAAATTTGATGGTAAAAGGGCTGAAAAACATTCAGCCTATTTCTACTACAGAACACTGGGGTTTTTTTTACTATTTTTTTATACTGTCATCAATTATAAAGGATCTGAAAGAGTTTTTTTATACCTCTGTTAGGTTCACACCACTAACACTCCTTGGGAGATCATTGAATATTGTTGATGATATCTGTTTTCTGACTTCAGCAGCATTACCCTGTCTGTAACAATCAAATCACATGAGTATCGTGAGCACATTTGTTAAAATTAAAAATATTCTACAATTCCATTTTTTCTCCAAAAATAAAAATTTCCTATTGATTATTTTAAAAAAATCATTGAAGACATGGTTTTAAAATAGAACTTTGTTTTATACATGTATATATATATTGTACTCTCTATTGTGCTTGTAACTTGTCAAGCAATATTATTTTGACATAAGTATCTTGATGGCACACATCAGAACCCATCAAAATAACAGTTAATTAACATCTTAACTTTTGGACTTGAATAGTATACAGTCTGTCAACTCAAATTTCAGATTTTAATATAAATTATTTATTGTTTGTTTAATTGGATTTTACGTCACACCAACACATTATAGGTCATATGGCGACGTTCAAGCTTTACTGGTGGAAGAGACCTCAGATGCTCTTCCATGCATTATTTCAGGCACAAACGGGCACCTGAGTAGAACCACCGACGTTCCGTAAGCTAGCTGGATAGCTTCCTATCATGAAATGATGAAAAAAATCCAAAGTCCCTGTAGGGATTCAAACCCACAGCGGTGAGGGGCAAGTGGTTTGAAGTCAACGACCTTAACCACGGACATACCTTAACAGTCTACATCTACATGCCACAATTCAACAGTCGGCTGTCAATTTTTCTTGAAGAGTTTTTGTAATAAGCTTATTATTGACAACTGTAATAGGTCTCTGATTTTGTTTAAAGTAGGATTATGGAATTCAGCGCTTTAAAGAGCTCATTTGGGACAAAAATTCCATGTACCTTTCCAAAAAATGTATAATAATTAAATATGTATACAGCAAAAAAAAAAACAACAAATAAGGCCTAATATAATATTGTGATGGATATAAATGTTAACGCATTCGACACAACAAGATGGCAGAAATCAACTATTTTGAGCGCAAATGAATCTCCCAGAAGGGACTGTGAGTCTGGAATGGAGAAACACTTCATCCCCCCCTGCAAACACCTCAAGACACTTCACCCCCCCCCCCCCTTCAGTAAGACACTTCACCATTCATCCAATACTTTTTAAGTTTTAAAATGAAATGGAAAGTATCCTATTTTTAAATAGAGCCTCTTATCCCTCTGTTATTGACAAGACAAATGAACTGGATAACTGTCTTCAATATTCAGATTTATGCGGGGGGGGGGGGGGAGGGAGTCAAAGACAGGGTCTGCAAAGCCGGCCCGGGCTTTGGGCTTGCCAGGTTGGACTACACATGTACATTCAACAGGAAATCAAATAAAAACAATTGATGTTTTCTACACCTATCAATAAAATTTTCAGTGTCAGTTCTAGTTGGGCGCTGCCATTTTCAATGTAACTCAATGCTAAGTAGGGGAGGTATTCCAATAACGAAACAATCACAACTTTTCAGATTAATAATAATCATCAAAGTTTCCGAGTGAAAACTGAAGTGCATGAAATATTGACCGACACCTTTAAAATGGAAAAATGACTTTTTTTAACCGACTTCCCCGTTCATAGCGAGCTTGAAGAGCTGGCTCAAAGGGCCTGCTCTCAAAGCAAGATTTAGGGTAATGTGAGTACCTGCTAGATAGTGATAATTTTGAAAACTTTTATCGGAAGTACTGAATTGACACATCACAACTTTTCGAATTACAAGATAACGATAAAAGCCGAGGAATTCTGATTGAAAACAGATGCGTAGACTGGTGTCCTGTGCACTTTTATATGTACCAAAATAGGACATGGAACCAGAATAAAAAGAAGCAGTGTTTAAAATACCAAATGACAGTTTTAAAATGGAAAATGTAAAATAAAGTTTAACAATTATTTCACAGTCAAAGTAAATCAACTTACAAGCTCACTTTGAGGCTTTGCCTTTGTCATATTAGGCTTTGCCTAATAAATTTCATATTATTTGGATTTATCTGACAAACAAAATTAGTCAAAACGCAAGCATTTGCAATATAAAAACCTTTAAATCAACCCAAATGATACTTATTTTTATGAGTCATAAATTAAATAAAAAAAAACAACACTGAAACCTGACAAATCATAAACACTCGTCACTGATAAACAAATTTCAATTTTCAGCAAGATATATCACATTTGTACTTTAAAAACAAAAACTTAAAAAAACTGGCGGTGAAGCAATGGTAACATACTTATTTAATTTCTGTGCAAAAGCTCTTTGGCCTGAGCCAGACATTTTTGGATGCTGAATGAATCTATCGTCACTTCCGGGTTCGATCTGAGTCTACAAGCGCTTTGTTTTTAATCGGGATAGAATAAATACCGGTATCAGGAACATACGGCCCGATTTTATTTTTTTTTTTAATTTATTATTTTTCTAGGTTATTATTTGGTTTTAGATATTGTCGTTATTTGTAGCAATAAAAAATAGTTGATAATGTCAGCTACATTATGACCAATATACTGACTAAAATTAAGTTTAAATATTATTAGAGCTATAACAGTTTGCATATTACCTAACTTTAATTGTGGTAATCAAGCCCTGGGTATCGTCTCGATTTATTCAGGGAATATACATAAACAATTACAATATTGTCACATATATCAACTTGCATATATAAAGCACACAAAAATGCAACAAAAATAATTATAAAATTAATAAATTTGTTATATGTTACCCTAGGATTGCCAATTAAGCTAAATTAAAGCTTATTTCCAATAGGGTCCATTTACTGTAACATTAACATAATATTTTAACTGTTAGAGTAGGGCAAAATCAGTCTAACATTATATTTCATGAGAGTAATTCATTTAAAAGATAAAAACACAAAACGAGAAAGAGCAAAAATAAAAATGTCAAGGTATTCTTTTCGAATGAAGGGATGCTGGCACAAATCCTTTTAAAAAGATATTGAGGATGTGACTTGACGAGACTTTGGAGGCTATTTCAGTACAGTTAGCTGTAGGAAAGAAAAAGTTCTCATATAGACTCAATCAAACCAAGTCTGCAGTTTTCATGTAACTTTGCTGTTTTAATGCCTCCGACCAGGAATCATTTTTCAAGATATTCAAACGTGAATGGGTTATGAGGAAATTTAAGTATCTATAGGGAATCAGGTGATTTTTGGTCTGCAAGAAATATATAGCTGATGTTGAATTTTGTATAAATGTCAGTTACAAAACTACCTGGTCGCAGCTTACTGTACACATTGTCTAGGTTAATTATAACGTATAAAGCAAAATGTTTTTGTCAGTGATGCCAAATAATTGAACTGTATTCTACCTGTGGTCTTACATATAAATGTTGTATATTCATTTCCTTAACATTTTAATAACAAGTTGAAATGTTTCATTTAATAAAGCGGGTTAATTGGTTGCATGAGAAATATTAGGCCCAGTTTAAATATTTGGAAACGGTCACCCCAAGATATTTTGATGTTTTTAAATGTTGTTGAATAGGGACAAATTACAAAATGTTTCTTATGCGAGATTGCGAGTGCTTTATTAATTTGGATCAATTCCATTTTCCAGTCTCTCTCAAGTTATTGGGATCATTTTTAAAATTTTACAATGCTGCAGAAGTAAATATATGTTAACTACGATGTTATCAGCATAGAGACGGACCTTAATATTTATGGTTGTTGCTATATATTTCTAGTCCTTGGGATCATTGAAAATTGAGTAGTGCTCAAGCAGGTGATATCGTGTGTGAGGGATCTTGCACGTTTTCATTTTCCCTCGTGTACAGACTAAATGAAACCTTTTCTGCAATTTCTTTGTAATTGTGCTGATTCTTATGCTTCCGAGGGGTCTCTTTATTCAAGATATTCATGGAAAGAATTAATGTATGAAAAGAAAAGACAATAATAGAGTGCTAGTAAAAGCACCAATTATTACAGGGAATCTCGTTTATAGGTCGCTACTCTGAGACAATTTTAGTCAAAAATGTCATAACTCAGCAAATTGCTTCAGAGTTAATACGTTGAAATTTTATAGATGGGTTGATAATGGTCAACATCTCCAATTGCTTTAGCTAGAGAAATCAATTACTTTAAATCTGTTGTTTGACCTTTGTGAAAACTATTGTTAGGCATATAATTATAAGGCATACTCATTGCGTCTCACAGCTTCTCTTTTGTCTAAATATATGCTTGAGGTGGTAATTTCTCAGGATCTTTATACATATATAAGACGAAGCCGGATTTTCTGATGCAACATAAAAGTGCTCAAAGTCCTAACTTTAAATTAAGTGTCAAAAAGAACTTGGAACAAGACAAATATAAATGATCTATTTTCATGTACACATGTAAAATATATGTACCTATGGTGTAATTTCATGTTTTGATGAGTCTCAGTATCAGAAATGTCCAAAATCACAGTGTTATTATCGCATAAACATTTTTTCTCCTAATATATTAAAATTCATTGTTCTGAATACGTAGCTTCATGGATGTTTGAAAAATAATGTACAATTTATATCCAATCAGTGGCTTTTTAAATTCAAAGTTCAAGTCTGCAGGCTATGCTTTAACAATCTATTCTCTGGAAAGCAGCTTTTAATTCTTTCAAGTAGAAGTATAAGAGATGTAATTCTTACACATAATTAAAAGAATAACTAGTAATAAATACAATTAATTAATTCAGGATGTGTCGAGCTTAAATTTTATTTCAAATTATATATATGCAATTAATCATGTGTATATATTTCAAATACCCTTTAAACAGTTAAGTACTGTTAACATATGTACTACCTAATTATTATAAGCTAAACTATTTTACTGTATTACATGTATTGATTTAATATGGAAAGTATTTAGTGGTGTTTAGCCAGATGAGATATGGCCAACTATTACAAGATTGGCATAGTACTATTGATACATCCTCTAAGTGTTTAGTGTATCGTACATATAAAAATACTCATTGTTTTGAAAAATATCTAGATGTACTTCCTTTTGACATAGGCAAATATTTATGTAAATTTAGAACAATGAATCACCTATTACCAATCGAAAAAGGCAGACATTTGGCAATTGATCATAATAATAGGGTCTGTTCCTTATGTCCGTATCAAGCTATTGGTGATGAATTTCACTACTTATTTGAATGTTCGTACTTTAATGACATAAGACGTAAATATCTTCTTCCCAGGTTTTACGTTCATCCCAATATTTTTAAACTTGACACATTAATGAATAGTTGTGATAAAACTATTCTACTAAAATTATCTTTATTTTGTAAAAACATTATGTTAAAATTTAGATAACTAATACTTCTCATTCTCCGTTCCCATTTGTTACAATATAAAATACATGTTGTATTGAATTCAGTACTTGATGAAATGAACAATATGATCTCCTTTTTGTTTATTTAGCTAGTCATAATTGTATTTTTATATTGTGATATTAGTGATTTTTGACTGTTATTTTTCTGTTTGTTTGTTTGTTATAACCAGTTGCATATTATATGCATTGGTTTAATAAAAACTGAAACTGAAACTGAAACTATCAATCGCAACTACTCGGCCCTTTCCGTCAGTCTTCGGATAAGGATAATAGATAATAGCCGAGGCTGTTCCGAATGATCTACTATTCCCGAAGTTTGACGGAAAGGGCCGAGAAATTGCGATTGGACTAGAATATAGGGAATTTCCAGTTCTATATATAGAAATTCCCGGAAAACGGTTTATGAACGTGACACAATTAATTTTGATCGTTTCAATTCAATTAACACGTTACAGTATGATTTGATGTGATTTTAAATTAATTTTAGCCGAGGTAAGTTTATTTCCGACATTTTTCTTGCCACATGTCTTTAAACAAGTATAATTTAGTAAACACGTACATGTTAAATTAAACTCATAAAACTGATAAGTTGTTTACGCGTGTCACAACAGATACATGTATACATGTAAGTAATAAACTGCCAAAGACTGAAAGAGTGATATAAGAACTCGTGTCGTGACAGACTGATTTTATTGGAGATGTTCTTTTTTTTGTAAATCAACCATATAAAGATTAGTTGGACTTATAACTGGGCAAACTGTTGAAACTGAATTTTAAATAGGTCAATCCAGTTATAAATTGTAATTTCAAAATGTACTGTACATGTACAGTAGTCAAGTGCTCACTGTAGCCTACTGTGCTTAAAATTAATAAATTGGATCATTGAAAGTCAAACCCTTAACAAGTATATGAGTTAATAGAAGTCTTTTCGTTTTATAGTCTTATTAGTATTAGTATGTTGTATGTAATCAGCTGTATATAGCCAGGATTATTAACGATTTTCCAGATGAAATTTTGTAAACACCTATAAGAGGAACAAATCGAGTCTATGCATCTCTTAGCTCCAGCAGGGGTGAGGTGCCGGTGGTTTTGACCCCAGGGTTGGCTTTAAGTTTGTAATAACAGACATTAGTCAAAAATCTTATCTTACCTGTTTTGGCGCCATATGACCTAAATTGTTTTGTATGTGCTGTGAAACCAACCAAGCAAACTGTTTAGATATTAAAATAAGCACCTTTGCAGAAATAATAAGATAATACATAATGAGAAGTATAATAATAATTATCATGCTGATATTAATGTTACTGCATTCATCTCTGTTGAATTGTCTAACAATTCAGTTGTTTATTGATAGTCAATCCTAATAGCATGCTAAATATCTTAAATGGACTTGTCCATCTTTCATTGTGGTCAAAACTCATTCAGCAATTTTAGGGAAAAAATAGCCAAATAGCGAATAGTGCAGTTGCATGTTTGATCATTCTGCACGACAGAATCTTTTGCCACCAGCAAACTAAGAGTTTTGATAATTATCGAACATTATTCAGAACTTTGAAAGTGCAGGGATGGTAAAATTAATTCTCCATACTGCCAAAGTTATCCCACTTGTACAGACATAATAGTAACAACATGCTTTAGATGAAAATGAACAAGTAAGTCAGATTCAGATTTTGGCCGGCCCTGATGTAATGTTGCATTTTGAACTTCCGTATGCATTATGGAAAGTCATGTTTTTGGTTTTGTCTTAATATATATCATTTCTGAAAACTTTAAGGAAGAAAATAAATTTTTAAAGCTCTTTACGTGTTTAGATCATAAAGATTTAAGCACAAAAAAAGCATAGACATTGAGGTATCTGATAAGTTAGTGACAAAAATTGAAATTGAATAATTTATGTAAATGTGACAAAAAAAGAGGCTGAAGTGTCAGACAAAGAATTTGTATGCATTTGAAAGAGTCAATATAATGAGTATTTTTGTATTTTCCCCTTAGATGTGCACAAATCTAATTTTAGCTGGACTTTATG